GGAAGAGAGGAGGAAGAGGAGAGGATGAGAGGAGAGGAAGAGAGGAGGAGGTCCATGAGTTTCTCTCATCCAGTGAGTTAAATGTCTCTGTGATGTAAGTACATGAGTTGACCAGCAGGTGGCAGCACACTCATTGTTTGTAATGAAGCATTTGATATCAATCAATAACCAAACAGCTGCATTGTGTTTGTAATCAATCAGTGGATTTGATTTTACAGAATAAGTTGATAATCATCATGAATGATAATATCTTTATTGGTTAATATTAGTATATAGTAATATAGTATATAAACAACATAATGACCCAAATATCAGTAAACAGCTCAAATCTGATGAGTTATAATAACAGCAGTTTATATAATATCTGTATATATAGTAAGCTTTATTTATAAAACACACAGTTACAAAGTGCTTCACTAACAAACACAATACAATAAAAATACATGAACACATATACACATAGGGAACATATACATACACACACACATAGGAACATATACGTACACACACACATAGAGAACATATACAAACACACACATAGAGAACATATATATGCACACACATAGGAACATATACATACACACACACACACACACATAGGGAACATATACATACACACACAGGGAACATATACATACACACACTGGGAATATATACATACACACACTGGGAACATATACATACACACACAGGGAACATATATAAACACACACAGGGAACATACACACATAGGGAACATATACATACACACACAGGGAACATATACATACACACACTGGGAATATATACATACACACACTGGGAACATATACATACACACACAGGGAACATATATAAACACACACAGGGAACATACACACATAGGGAACATATACATACACACACACACAGGGAACATATACATACACACACATATAGAGAACATATACATACACACACATATATGGAACATATACATACACACACGGAATATATATATACACACAGGGAACACATACACGCACACACACATAGGAAACATGTATACACACATAGGGAACATATACATACACACATACAGGGAACATATACATACACACACAGGGAACATATATACACACACACAGGGAACATATATATACACACACAGGGAACATATACATACACACACAGGGAACATATATATACACACACAGGGATCATATACATACACACACAGGGAACTTACACATACACACACAGGGAACATACACGTACACACACAGGGAACATACACGTACACACACAGGGAACATATACATAAACACACAGGGAACTTACACGTACACACACAGGGAACATATACGTACACACACAGGGAACATATATATACACACACAGGGAACATACATACATAGGGAACATATACATACACACACATAGGGAACATATACATACACACACATATAGGGAACATATACATACACACACACATATGGAACATATACATACACACACATGGAACATATACATACACACAGGGAACACATACACGCACACACACATAGGAAACATGTATACACACACATATGGAACATATACATACACACACAGGGAACACATACATACACACACATGGAACATATACATACACACAGGGAACACATACACGCACACACACATAGGAAACATGTATACACACACATAGGGAACATATACATACACACATACAGGGAACATATACATACACACAGGGAACATATACATACACACACAGGGAACATATATACACACACACAGGGAACATATATACACACACACAGGGAACATATACATACACACACAGGGAACATATATATACACACACAGGGAACATACACACATAGGGAACATATACATACACACACAGGGAACATATACATACACACACAGGGAACTTACACGTACACACACAGGGAACATACACGTACACACACAGGGAACATATACGTACACACACAGGGAACATATACGTACACACACAGGGAACATATACGTACACACACAGGGAACATAGGAAACATATACATACACACACAGGGAACTTACACGTACACACACAGGGAACATACACGTACACACACAGGGAACATATACGTACACACACAGGGAACATATACGTACACACACAGGGAACTTACACGTACACACACAGGGAACATACACGTACACACACAGGGAACATACACGTACACACACAGGGAACATATACGTACACACACAGGGAACATATACGTACACACACAGGGAACATAGGAAACATATACATACACACACAGGGAACATATACGTACACACACAGATCAAAATCTCTGGAGGACAAGAAGCTTCTGATTTTTACAATATTTCATAGCTGCAGAAAACAGGACTGAAGTTCTGTAACAGGATTTTGGCAAAAACCAGACTGGAATTTATCAAACACTATATAACCCTTTACCAGCTTCAGGACCAGCTTCAGGACCTGGACCACAACAAGATGTTCAAGGATTTTAGATAAAAGGGAAGGTGGAGATTGGTCTATAGCTTTCTAAGTGGTCTGGATTGAGAGAGGGTTTTCTAAGAAGTGGCTGAACACATTTTAAAATGGTCAGGACCCGGATGTGAGAGAGGAACTGATGACAGAAAGACAGGGAGGATAGATTATAGAAGTGTGTGACAGGGACTGGAGGAGGGAGGCATATGATGGACAGTTTATAAAGGATCTGTAGAGAGGAGCACAATCAGACAGTGAGGGGGAAACGAGACCTTAGACCATCAATCTTACCAATGAAAAAAGACAAGAATGTTTCACAGTCAGCAGGAGGAGGAGTTGATAGCTGGAGGAGGAGGAGTTACAAGCTGGTTAATAGTAAATAAAAACCGATATATGTTCATGGCTAACAATCGATCCAAGGGGTTTTATTAATAACTGGGACAGCCCTGGATGTATATGGAGCGGACATAGTGACTAGTGAGGATGGGAACAGAAAAATGTGGCTGCTGGCTGATTGTTAAAGATGCCAGAGAGGATTATATGTTTCTGGGATGGGGAAGCAGATACAAAATGTCTATCAGAAGTAACACATAAAACCTGCATATTCAGGGACTTCAGAGACAGATCCAGAGTAAAAACGAACCCACGGTTATTAGCAGGGCCGGAGACAATAAGCAATACGACAATAAAAGATTTACAAATGTTTAAAAAGTCTGAGGCAAATGGATTTGAAGAGTTACAGCGGGTCGTCCACCCATCAGAAGGTTGTTGATTCGATCTCCGGCTCCTGCTGCTGCATGTGGAAGCTGTGCATCGGTGTGTGAATGAGTTAGTTTCTGTGAATGTGTGTGAAAGGGTGAATGTGGCTGTAGTGTAAAAAAGGTTGGAAGACAGTAATGTAACAAATCTTCCTCATCTTCTTCTTCATCACTGCTGCCACACACACACACACACACACACACACACATTCCTGAGCTGGTTGCAGCTCGCTGTGTGTGTGTTGATGTTAGTCAGCCAATCAGAAACAGTTTCAGACCCTGTTAGGAGTCCAGCTGTTTTCCCATTTTCGGTCAAAGTCCAGGCAGAGTGTGTGTGTGTGTGTGTGTGTGTGTGAGTGTGTGTGTAAGTGTGTGTGTCAATGATCCTCTTCACCTTCACACTGACAGAAAACTGCTGCTGACACTAAAAACATAAAAAAACAGAAAATGATAATAAATATAGAATATAATGTATGAATATAATAATAATAATAATAAAGTATAATATAGTGTAATAACGATATTAAACACAGCACACTCGGCTGTGGTCTGTATTTCTGATATTATTAGTGTGTGAAAGTGTGTGTAGCTACAGACCGCTAGCTAGCGTTATGGAAGCTTCTAGCTATCCTTTGATCTATTAGCTAGAGACAGCTAGCATATCTGACTAACCAGTGTTAGCTACAAAGTGCTAGCTTATCAAACATAGCTTTATCCTGTTACAGACAGATAGTATTACTTTATGTTAGATATTGTATACGTTGACGATACGTATACAGTATCTAACAGTGTGTGTGTAGTGGTGTACAATATGCACAGAAGAAGGCATGATCAGTGAATGTGAGTGGAAATAAAGAGCAGAAATAAGTGTTGTGGTATGAAGCTATGAAGGACAGTCGCTGGAGGAGGAGCAGAGGAGGAGGAGGAGGAGGAGGAGGAGAATGCTGTAACTAAACAAGGACATAGTCACACAGAGAAATACTACAGCACACAGTCTATATGAGCAGTCACACACTTTGCACTGAGACACAAGCAGACCACACCCACCACGTTTCCTCTCCTTACATGAGACGAAGAGGAGGAGGAGGAGGAGGAGGAGGCAGAGTCTCCTCTTATTTACTGACCGGCTTCCTTTTTAGGAGTTAAGATACAGACAGATGTCCCTGCTGTCTGTTGTTTTATGTTCTATTGAATCTGCCCTTACTATACTTTTTATACCCGTTCACTTTGTTTCTGTGACGAGGAGTGAAGGAGGAGTGAAGGAGGAGTAAAGGAGGAGTAAAAGAGGAGTAAAGGAGGAGTGTCTGCTGCAGGAAGTTTTCTTTCACTCGTAGTAAAGTCTCCTTTTAAGGAGAACCTGAGTGGAGTCTGCTGGATGTCTGAAACAGAGAAATGTTACAGTCATCATACAGAGATCTCCTGCTGACACATTCCTCCCCTGGCGGCTGTAAACACTACGATACCCATGAGCCTCAGCAACTGTAGTGATGGAGAGGCAGCCAGTCAATAAAGCTGATCAAACTGCTAAAGGTTTGATCAGCTTTCTACCATTTACAGTATTGATCAGCCCAACGTTAATCTGTAACTGGCTGTTAGTGAAATGCACCCTGGGAGTTGTAGTTCTCCTCTGTCCTTCAGTTTTTATATCCACAGACTTCTTGTAGTTTTCTAATCAGGTGGAATTTCTGCCAGATCACTTGTTGTTTGAGGAACAACAGATCCCCTTCCTCTCAAAGATTCTGGAGAAAGTAGTCGCCAAAGAGTTGTGTGACTTTCTACATAACAGTAGTTTATTTGAGGATTTCAGTCAGGATTTAGAGTTCATCATAGCACAGAGACAGCTCTGGTTAAAGTTAATAATGACCTTCTGACTGCTTCTGACAATGGACTTGTCTCTGTACTTGTATTATTAGATCTTAGTGCTGCATTTGACACCATTGACCATGATATTCTTTTACAGAGACTTGAGCATCAAATTGGCATTAAAGGAACCGCACTAAGCTGGTTTAAGTCATATTTATCAGATCGCTCGCAGTTTGTACATGTTAACAATGAATCTTCAATAAATACTACAGTTAGTCATGGAGTTCCACAAGGTTCTGTACTTGGACCAATACTATTTACTTTATATATGCTCCCTTTAGGCAACATTATTAGGAATCACTCCATTAACTTTCACTGTTATGCAGATGATACGCAGTTATATCTATCAATCAAACCCAATGAAATTAATCAATTATCTAAATTACAAACATGTCTTAAGGACATAAAATCCTGGATGAGCTGCAATTTTCTGATGTTAAACTCAGAAAAAAATGAAATTCTTCTTCTTGGCCCCAAAAACCTTAGAGACTCACTGTCTAAAGATATAGTTACTCTAGATGGCATTAACTTGGCCTCTAGCACCACTGTCAGGAATCTTGGAGTTATCTTTGATCAAGATTTGTCATTTAACTCCCACATAAAGCAGACCTCTAGGACTGCCTTCTTTCATTTACGTAATATTAGAAAAATTAGACACATCCTATCACAGACAGATGCAGAAAAACTAATCCATGCATTTGTTACTTCAAGGCTGGATTACTGCAACTCTTTATTATCAGGTTGCCCCAATAAGTCCATTAAAACGCTCCAATTAATTCAGAACGCTGCAGCACGAGTACTGACAGGAACTAGAAAAAGAGATCACATCTCTCCTGTACTAGCTTCTCTGCACTGGCTCCCTATAAAATGTAGAATTGAATTTAAAATCCTCCTCCTCACCTATAAAGCTCTTCATGGTCAGGCCCCTTCATATCTTAAAGAGCTCATAGTACCCTATTACCCCTCTAGAACACTACGTTCTCTGAATGCTGGGCTACTTGTGGTTCCTATAGTCTCTAAAAGTAGAACAGGAGCCAGAGCCTTCAGTTACCAAGCTCCTCTCCTGTGGAACCAGCTTCCAGTTGTGGTTCTGGAGGCAGACACCCTCACCACATTCAAGAATAGGCTTAAGACATTCCTCTTTGATAAAGCTTATAGTTAGGGCTGGATCAGGTGAGTCCTGAACCATCCCTTAGTTATGCTGCTATAGGCCTAGACTATCGGGGGATTTCCCATGGTGCACTGAGCTCCTCCCTTCCTCTCTCTTTCTGCACTCATGTTCCATTAATGCATGTTACTAACTTCACTTCTTCCCCGGAGTTCTTGTGCTTTCTCGTCTCGCAGGTTCTTGTCGATCCTGGTGGAGCCTCCTGCCATGGTCCTGCTAGATTGCCATTGCCAATACTGTTGTTGCTGTGCACCTGTCTGTCTGTCTGTCTGTCTGTCTGTCTGTCTGTCTGTCTCTCTCTCTCTCTCTCTCTCTCTCTCTCTCTCTCCCACCCACCTAGAGCCGGAGGATCTGTCCTAGGTTTCTGCCTTTTAACAGGCAGTGTTTCCTTGCCCTTGTCGCCAAGGTCTTGCTCATGGTGGTACTGTTGGGTCTCTGTAATTAATGTTAAAGAGTTCGGTCTAGACCTGCTCTATTTGAAAAGTGTCCTGAGATAACTTCTGTTATGAATTGGCGCTATACAAATAAAATTGAATTGAATTGAATTGAATTAATTGATTGGATGGATCTCCTGTTTAAACTGTACTGATCAATAAACTGTCCCAGAACGAGTCTGATATAAAATGTAGTATCTTATCTATATATGTATCCTGACTCAGTGTTTGAGAGAGAAACCTTATTGAAGTACAAACATTCTTCCTCAGTGGTTCATTCAGACCGATCTCCTCCTCCTCCGTCCTCCTCCCTGCTGTTTGTCTTTTTAAGGAGATAGACCGCTGCCCCCCCACCACACACACAGGATCTAATATAATATAATAATATAATAATACTGTAATATATTCTATATAAAAACTTTATTGATACTCTTCATCATTATAATGTGTCCAATACGTCAGCCTCAGCTGCACTTTGTGTTTACTGCTAATCAGCTAACGTTAGCATGAGCATTGTACCCGCTAACATTAGCACATTAGCATTGTAATGTAATTATAAGTGAAACAGTTAAAAGATGTGCTGAATTAATGAAAATGTAATTATTATTATTATATATATATTATTATAGTTCAATCAGTGAGTCTGATGTCACACTGCTGATCACCTTTAAGTGGATGTGATCAGTTTGAACAGAACAGTCCTTTAATCCCTGACGCCCTAACATGGGGATGAAATCTGTGTGCAGGACGGTCTGTGATCGGGCCTCAGAAGGGGATTGTACTGTACATCATGTAAACTGATGAGGTCATTGTTTGGCACACCCTTTAGGCATATATGTGTGTGTGTGTGTGTGTGTGTGTGTGTGTGTGTGTGTGTGTGTGTGTGTGAATGAAGATGCTACACTGCCATATGAGGAGGTGAGAGAGGAAGCTAGTACAGTAAATAATAACCAGAGGAGGCTTATATGCAAACAATTATTATCATAATTAGACCTCATTAGAACAAAATGATCTGAATCTAATAAAGGATTTCAAATTATTGAAATCTAAACTGTATAAACTCTAGAGCTATCTTCTATATTTAATCAATAATCTATAATCAATAAACAGTGTATAAACTCTAGAGCTATCTTCTATATTTAATCAATAATCTATAATCAATAAACAGTGTATAAACTCTAGAGCTATCTTCTATATTTAATCAATAATCTATAATCAATAAACAGTGTAAACAGTGTATAAACTCTAGAGCTACGTTCTATATTTAATCAATAATCTATAATCAATAAACAGTGTATAAACTCTAGAGCTATCTTCTATATTTAATCAATAATCTATAATCAATAAACAGTGTATAAACTCTAAAGCTGTGTTCTATATGGAGTTGATCAATAATCAGTAATCAGAAGCTGTCACACATTGACTGTTTACCATCCACTGTTTAGATCTTGGTGCTTTTTAACTCTAGATTTGAACCGGATGAAGGATTTTAGTCATCGGACGTCTGGATCTTAAGTTATCAGAGAAACAAGCTGAGCTAACGTTAGCAGCAGCTCGGCTCGCAGCCCCTCCGGGACGTCCTTTGTCTGTCCAACAGCGTGGGAGAAGCAGTGATTGTTGGTGGCGTTTTTTTTTGTTTAAGGTGGAACTGCTTTATTCAGTGTGTTTAAGGTGGAACTGCTTTATTCAGTGTGTTTAGTGGTTTTAATCAGCGGGTCTGTTTGTGTTGGAGAGGAGGAGACCTCTGTGGATCATTGGGCTCCCGGTAGAAACCTCCTGAACCATGAACACTGAAGGAATCCTAACCGGGAGAAGCTGACTGCAATGACGCCAATGGTGGTGAAGACAACAACTCCCATGAGTGCATGTAAATGGATTGAACATATTTTATATATAACATACAATATGAACTTTATTCTAACAGTAAACATGGTTTTAGACCGAGGACACAGTCAGACTGTATCAGGCCTCTTATTGGACCACAGAAGTCTTCCTGGATCAGATCTGAGCGGTTTGTAACAGGATATGAGTCCCAGCTCGCCGGGCGCTGGTTAATGATGTAAATCAGTCAGTAACAGAGTGATGGACAGATGGAGAGACACAGCTGAGAATGGAAACCAGTCGACACCAGAGGATTCAAACATGTCAGTGAGTCAGCTGCTGGTTCAGAGTCTGAAGGAAAAACGATTCTCCTTGTTTATGTTTGCAAACAGCGAGGGCGTATTCAGGGGGCGGAGCCTAACAGCGCTCAGAAAGAGACAGTTCTACAGTAGCTAGCGGTGTTAGCGCTACCATCATAGGCATCAAAACAGTCACATGACAGACGCGGGTGGCTGTGGCTCAGAGGCAGAGCGGGTCGTCCACTGACTGGAAGGTTGTTGGTTCGATCCCCAGCTCCTCCCGTCACATGTTGAAGTGTCCTTGAGCAACATACTGAATCCTGAATGCTCCTGATGCATTAGTGTGTGTGTGTCTGTCTGTAGTGTGTGTGTGTCTGTCTGTAGTGTGTGTCTGTCTGTAGTGTGTGTGTGTCTGTAGTGTGTGTGTCTGTAGTGTGTGTGTGTCTGTAGTGTGTGTGTCTCTGTCTGTAGTGTGTCTGTAGTGTGTGTGTCTGTAGTGTGTGTGTCTGTAGTGTGTGTGTCTCTGTCTGTAGTGTGTCTGTAGTGTGTGTGTCTCTGTCTGTAGTGTGTGTGTCTGTCTGTAGTGTGTGTGTCTGTAGTGTGTGTTTCTGTAGTGTGTGTGTGTTTCTGTCTGTGATGTAAAAGCACTTTGAGTGGTCAGAAGACTAGAAAGGTTAATTTAACATTTACGATCAATGATGTAATGGTACAAAGCTAACGTATAATAATAATAATAATATAATAATAACAACACCAATAATAATATAATCAATAATAATAATAATTAATAATAATATAATAATAATTAATAATAAATAATAATTATAATAATAATTGATAATAATATAATAATAATAATTAATAATAATAATAATAATAATTAATGATAATAATAATTGATAATAATATAATAATAATAATATAATAATAACAACAACAATAATAATATAATAATAACAATAATAATAATTAATTATAATAATATAATAATAATATAATATAATAATAATAATAATAATAATTAATAATAATAATAATAATTGATAAAAATATAATAATAATAATAATATAATAATAATAATAATAATAATAATAATAATAATTGATAATAATATAATATTATTATTATTAATAATAATAATAATAATAATAATAATTAATAATAATAATAGTCCTTTTCAGATTAGAAGTGAAGCTAGTGTAAAATAACATTAGCACACTGATGCTAGTTCTTCTGAGTCATGTGACCGACCTCTCCAGCAGATTATTGATCGCTGATTGATCGCTGATTAGCTGCTAACAGTCATTAGCACTAGAACAGGCAGTGGAGCTGCAGCTTACTGTAGAGTTGAAGCAGAGGTCAGTTGCAGTCTCGGTGCAGAAGGATCATATCAACACCGACCGACTGCTGCTGACAGTCAACACAGCTGGACTTCATCAGTCACTCAAAGTGGATCACAGAACCTGCTCCAGAACCCGCTCCAGAACCTGCTCCAGAACCTGATCCAGAACCCACTGCAGAACCCGCTCCAGAACCCATTGCAGAACCTGCTCCAGAACCTGATCCAGAACCCACTGCAGAACCTGATCCAGAACCTGCTCCAGAACCTGCTCCAGAACCCACTGCAGAACCCACTGCAGAACCTGATCCAGAACCCGCTCCAGAACCTGCTCCAGAACCTGATCCAGAACCCACTGCAGAACCTGATCCAGAACCCGATCCAGAACCCACTGCAGAACCACGAAGAACCAGTTCCTATCAATAATTGTAGCTAGCTTATGTTATGGTAGATGATTGATTGACAATATTCAGCTGCTGATTGATTGATTGATTGATTGATTGATTGATTGATTGATTGATTGATTAGGAGTCCGACTGTCTGATTTTAACAGCAGTTAGCATTGTTGCTAACAGTTAGCAGCTGGGTGCAAATTATTACCATTACCATCATTATTAATGTTAGCTAACAGCTAACCGCTAACAGGAAGTGTCAGACAGAAACATGAAGACAGGATGTGAGGGATGACCGAGGTGTGAGACAGTGACACCAAACAGTGCCTGTCTGTCTGTCTCTCAATCTGTCTCCCTCTGTCTCCCTCCTGTCTCCCTCCTGTCTCCCTCCCTCCTGTCTCCCTCTGTCTCCCTCTGTCTCCCTCCCTGTCTCCCTCTCTGTCTCCCTCTGTCTCCCTCTATGTCTCCCTCCTGTCTCCCTCCCTCCTGTCTCCCTCTATGTCTCCCTCCCTGTCTCCCCTCTGTCTCCCCCCTGTCTCCCTCCCTATGTCTCCCTCCTGTCTCCCTCCCTCCTGTCTCCCTCTATGTCTCCCTCCCTATGTCTCCCTCTGTCTCCCTCCTGTCTCCCTCTCCCTCCATGTCTCCCTCTATGTCCTATCCCTCTCTGTCTCCCTCCTGTCTCCCTCCCTCCTGTCTCCCTCTGTCTCCCTCCTGTCTCCCTCTATGTCTCCCTCTGTCTCCCTCCTGTATCCCTCCCTGTCTCCCTCCTGTATCCCTCCCTGTCTCCCTCCTGTCTCCCTCCTGTCTCCCTCTGTCTCCCTCCTGTCTCCCTCCCGGTCTCCCTCCTCTCTCCCTCCCTGTCTCCCTCTGTCTCCTTCCCTCCTGTCTCCCTCTATGTCTCCCTCTGTCTCCCTCCCTGTCTCCCTCTCTGTCTCCCTCTGTCTCCCTCTGTCTCCCTCCTGTCTCCCTCTATGTCTCCCTCTGTCTCCCTCCTGTCTCCCTCTATGTCTCCCTCTGTCTCCCTCTGTCTCCCTCTGTCTCCCTCTATGTCTCCCTCCCTCCTGTCTCCCTCTGTCTCCCTCCTGTCTCCCTCTATGTCTCCCTCTGTCTCCCTCTATGTCTCCCTCTGTCTCCCTCCTGTATCCCTCCCTGTCTCCCTCCTGTCTCCCTCTGTCTCCCTCCTGTATCCCTCCCTGTCTCCCTCCTGTATCCCTCCCTGTCTCCCTCCTGTCTCCCTCTGTCTCCCTCTGTCTCCCTCCTGTCTCCCTCCCGGTCTCCCTCCTCTCTCCCTCCCTGTCTCCCTCTGTCTCCCTCTCTCTCCCTCCTGTCTCCTTCCCTCCTGTCTCCCTCTATGTCTCCCTCCTGTCTCCCTCTGTCTCCCTCCTTGTCTCCCTCCCGGTCTCCCTCCTTTCTCCCTCCCTGTCTCTCTCCTGTCTCCCTCCCTACCCCCTCCTGTCTCCCTCCCGGTCTCCCTCATCTCTCCCTCATCTCTCCCTCCCTGTCTCCCTCCCGGTCTTCCTCCTCTCTCCCTCCTGTCTCCCTCCCTCTCTCCCTCCTGTCTCCCTCCCTGTCTCCCTCCTGTCTCCCTCTGTCTCCCTCTGCCTCCCTCCTGCCTCTCTCCCTGTCTCCCTCCTGTCTCCTTCCCTGTTCTCTCCCTCCCTGTCTCTCTCCTGTCTCCCTCCCTGTCTCCCTCCTGTCTCCCTCCTGTCTCCCTCCCTGTCTCCCTCCTGTCTCCCTCCCTGTCTCTCTCTGCTCCTCTGTCTCCCTCCTGTCTCCCTCCCTGTCTCCCTCCCGGTCTCCCTCCTCTCTCCCTCCCTGTCTCCCTCTGTCTCCCTCCTGTCTCCCTCCTGTCTCCCTCCCTGTCTCCCTCCCGGTCTCCCTCCTCTCTCCCTCCCTGTCTCCCTCTGTCTCCCTCCTGTCTCCCTCCCGGTCTCCCTCCCTGTCTCCCTCCCTGTCTCCCTCCTCTCTCCCTCCCTGTCTCCCTCTGTCTCCCTCCTGTCTCCCTCCCGGTCTCCCTCCTCTCTCCCTCCCTGTCTCCCTCCTGTTTCCCTTTCTGAGGAATGCAGTGAATGATGGGAGAAAGTCGGGTGGCGCCGTGAGCCGTCTGATTGGCTGCTCCCCTCAGGTCCTGCCCTATAAGGAATCAAGAGAGAGAGAGAGAGGGAGGAGGAGAGAGGGAGGAGGCCTGGGCCATGTTTGGGATGGATGGAGGAGGAAGAGGAGGAGGAGGAGGGAGGAGGTTGATAAAGTCAGTCGCTGCACTTCAGACTCTCACTTCTGTTCTGCCCCCCCTCACGTCCCAGCAGGCCCCGCACTGCCACGGTAAGACCTCCTCATCACCTCCTCATCACCTCTTCATCACCTCTTCATCACTTCCATCTCCTCCATCTCCTGCTTCTCCTGCTTCTCCTCCTCTCAGTGTAAATGTGATGAAGCTTTTTCTCTTATTTGCTCCTGAAGGTCTTACCTCCTGTTTCACCTCCTTTCTCCCTCCTGTTTCAACTCCTGTTTCACCTCCTTTCTCTCTCCTTTCGTTTTCTCTGCAGAAAAAGCAACAGATTTTCTTCTTCTCTTTCCCCTCTTTCATGCCTTCACCTCCTTTTTTCTGCTCTTAAACCATTTCACCTCCTCTTTTATTGCTCTTCACCTCCTTTCACCTCATTCTGTATCCTTCCCTTTCTGCTACCACTAACCTTCTCCTTCTATCTCCTCCACCTCTTCACCTCCTTCACTCTCTCCTCCTCACAGCGTTATTGTAGAAATAATAAATCTATACCACCTCTTTCACCTCCTCTCACCTCCTTTCCTCTGTGGAATTACTTCAGCCCTCTCTTACTCCTCAAAACTCCCTCACTTCCTCTTTCACCTCCTCTAATCTCAGTTTAATTCAACTTGATTTTCTCCTCCTCCATCTTCCTCCCTGTCTAACCTCCTTCACCTCCCTTCCACTCCTTCTCCATCACCTTCTCTGCTCCTTCACCTCCTCCTCCTCCTCCTCCTCCTCCTCCTCTTCTTCTGGTTCTGTTCTTCTCCTTCGTGTTGCACCTGCTGAGCTCAGAGCGGCTTGTAGAGTCGGACCGAGCCACACCAGACTCCCTTTGAGTTTTGGCTGTTTTTAGAGTTGCAGTGTGAGTGTCAGTGTGCAGAGCTGTGGTTTGTTTCTGCTGCAGATTCTTCAGAAAGCTGATTGAGGAAACAGAAACTCAGACGTTGACTCAGGAACATCTTCTCTACAACATGTGCTCATGTTTTAGTGTCTGTTTGTATTCTGAGCAGTCAAAGTTAAAAGTTTGAGTTTTCTGAGTGAAGTTTGGTTGAATCTGGCAGGCGTTGAGGTGTGTTTGATTTCTCTCTCACGGTGCCGAGTTGAAGCTTGACTTGTTTAACCTTTCTGCCCGAGTGGAGACTGGCAGGTGAGCTGCCTGATCATCTGACATTGAAACATAATGAATTTATTTTCCTTCAAACATTAAACACAGAAGATAAAAGTTCTAAACTACGGAAGCTTCACTGCTTTGCTTTTTCAGAAGCTTTCAGGCTGATCTAATGGTCTTCATCAACAGCTGTAGTGAGCATTCACTGATGAAGACAAACATACAACAGCTACTACTGAACACCAGTCTAATCAATAACCTTATCAATAATCTAAAACAGTGCAGGGAATCAACGTGTACAATCAGCCGTTTTCTTTATGGAGTTCTGATAAAAACTTTATTTTTATATTTATTCTTACTACAAACTTTCTGCATTTGATTGATTGATTGATTGATTGATTGATTGATTGACTGATTGATTGATATCTTCTGATTCAAAAATCAATATGTGTGTGTGTGTGTGTGTGTTTATGTTTCTAAAATGAGCCATTGATCCGCTGCTGGCTGTTTTCAGGAGGAACCAACGAGCCACAGACAGGAAGTCAGACAGTTCTGAGGGACGGACCAACGTGTTTGATCAATATTGATTTATTGATTTACTTTAATTATTTCAATTATTTATTGATCATTTATATCAAACAGCTCCCGAATCTTCGTCAGGTGACACATTAAAAATATAGATCAATATCCAGCAGATAGGATTTATTGACTATAAGGAATCAATCAGACGTATTGATTAATGAGTTCCAAAGGAGCAGCAGGCTCCTGCAGACCACACTGAGGGCAGAGAGAACCTCTGAACGTCTGATTCCACATTAATGACTAAATATGGTCTGAGACAGACAGGCAGGCAGAGAGAGAGACAGGCAGGGCGAGCGAGGCAGAGAGAGAGAGAGAGAGGAGAGAGAGACAGAGAGAGAGAGAGAGAGAGAGAGAGAGAGAGAGAGAGAGAGAGAGAGAGAGAGAGACACACAGAGAGAGAGACAGAGAGAGAGAGAGACAGAGAGAGAGAGAGAGAGAGAGAGAGAGAGAGAGAGACAGAGAGAGAGAGAGAGAGAGAGAGAGACAGAGAGAGAGAGAC